ACATCGTAACTTGCCTTAGGCGTGATTAATAAATAAATCATCGTGACTATGGGTACGGTTCCCATGGCATAGTCATGATACGTAATCCCCAATTCGGGTGTGCATTTCATGTGGCCCGATCATAACTTCAAACAATAACTAAAATAAACATGTCGTGAATCGCGGGTGCATTTCATGTGACGCGGTTTGCAATATGTACCAAAACGATAAGTGTACGACATCGTGACTTGTTCCAGAAATAATTCCATAAATAATTAAAAGCGGTTAAAAAGTAAAAATGCACAATAGGCTTTAAATGTGTAATAAATCAGATAATTAGGCCAAGTATTAATTGTTAAGCGACCGTGCTAAAATCACGAAACTCGGGAGTGCCTCACACCTTCTCCCGGGTTAACAGAATTCCTTACCCGGTCTTCTATGTTCGCGGACCATAAATAGAGTTAAATTTCCTCGATTTGGGATTTAAAATAAACCGGTGACTTGGGACACCATAAATTATCCCAAGTGGCGACTCTGATTTAATAAATAATCCTATTTCGAATATTGTCACTTTAATTGGAAAAACTCCCTTATCCCCTGTCCCCGCGGGAAAAAGGAGGTTTGACAGTCTATGGGGACAAGAGCCCTTTTAAACTTAACTAGAAACTCTAGTAGAGAATGCTTCCTCGTCAATGGGACCTAAGTAGCCTGAATCTAAATTATATATTCGAATTTCAAATACCAGATTATTATAAATTAAAAAAAGAATTTCAAGAATCTAACGACACCACCAAGTTCACGGTTTATATACCAATGACAAGCGGAAAATACCTATAATCCAACTTCAAATATAAAATATTCAAATATTTGCCTAGCTGGAGGATGAACTGAAGTTTACTGGGTCCTCTCTTTGCGCCTTCTCTTCGCATATCAGGAAAAAATTATAAAAAGAAAATGAAAATGATCATATTAATTAAGCCATAATTTTTGGAAGATAGAGCTTTTTCTTACACCAGAGTTTTTCTTCCAGAATCTATCTATGACTATTATGCTTGTTAATATAATTTAATCTAGACCTTTGAAATTTAAATATAACAAATGCCACTCATTCAAACATGTACTCGTGAAATTTCTTTTTTTTTTTTTAAGAAAAAAAAATTCAATGAGTAGGAGCTAGATCAATTTACTTAACTTAACAAACATATAAGGGTGTGAAGGGTTGTGCTGATTTTGGGCAGGTCAAAATGGGCCGAGTCAATAAATGAGTTGGTCATTGACCCACCCAAAAGTTACTTGGGCTGAGATAAGCTAGGTCAAGATGGACTAAAATTTGGTTCATAGCCCAACACGCGCAATTCTTACCAAACTTTAATTAAAGTGTATTATTTTCTTACGAATTGCTTAATTACTAAATAAGACTTCTTTTCTTTTGTTAGGGTCATATATAACATATCAAACAAAAAAATTATTTTTAAGATATTTAACAAAGTTGTCTGTGTATCAATTTGGGCTGAAAATCAACCTAACTTTATATGGATTAAAATTGGGTTGGGTCAAGATCGACCGAGTTCAATAGTAGAAGGGTCTGAGCGGCCCAACATTGAACAGATTAGACGGGTTGAATAAGTTTGGGCAATAAGAAAGCAATAGAAATACATATGTAGCAGTTCATTTAGCTTACTAATTAAATATTTTGATGCCTTCACTTCTAGCATAGCAGGTGGTTCTTAATCCACAAGTGATTCATGTTGTCAAAACGTTGAATTATCAATAATAATGTCGAAAGTGATCGTTCATTCCTTTTGTAGCAAATGGCCATTTCCATGATTGACGGAAAAAAGCTAAGAGAGGAAGGAAAAAGGAAAAAGTATTGCAAGGGTTGATAAATAAGGTGGGAGTAAATTTTGCTCACTGTTGCAGTGTAGACTTATGACTTGCCAGTGCTGAACGGACCAATCAATTTCTTTTAATTTGCCACACTTTTTGGTCACTGTGCCTAAATTGACCACTGCAGTCGTAGAAATCCCATGCATGTTCTCATTTAACATCGGATGATACCCCAAAAATACCCATGCGTCACATTAGGCGTCACTGATGATCCACACAGGCTAAGCGTTAACCGATTCAAGTCGGAGGGAAGTGGTGTTTCCGGTGGCGGACGGGTGAGTAACGCGTACGAATCTGTACGAACCTGCTCTTGGGAGGGGAACAACAGCGGAAAATAGTTGCTAATACCCCGTAGGTTGAGGAGCAAAAGTTTAACCGAATTAAAAAAAATTCGGTGTAAACATAAATTCTTTAAATATGAATTCTGAATTCACTTCTTTTTTACCATGCATTTGCAGGAGAGTATATATTTGTGAAGACTTTTTTCTAAAATCACGAAATTGGGGCACCAAAGATCTGGTTTAAAAAGTCGTTAAGCATGCAAAAATTCGTGATATTACGAGTGAACACTTAGTTGCTGTTTCAACTAACATATTAGGGGGAAACAAAGATAACCACTCTATTGGTAGAGTTATCAAGAACAAACTTACATAGGTTAATACTTAATAGTTTGTCCTTGGAAAATTCATGATAAAAAAAAACGATGAAATATAGTTTGCAAAAGGGTACTCCATATTTTGACACTCCGTACCACTTTCAGCTTAGTAATACCACTACTTTCACTATCATCATCTAGTAATTACGACTCCCTCTTTTAAAATAATTGTAGTGGCAGCTTGGCCAAATATTTTGAAAATTTTAGTTCCGTCTCTGACTAGCAGCGAGAACTTATTTTGCAGTTGAGAGGACCGGCGCTTGTGGTCATGGATCCAACCAAGGTAGAAGGCCTTGCACTTAAGCTTGATGCCCTAGCATAAGTAGAAGATGATGCACCTGCACCTGTTTGCCTGAAATAGGCACCATTTAACATCAAGTCACCTTCTGACCTCCAGTTCCAGCTTCTCCACTCACTTTCTGGTGCATCCTCATGCTTTGTCACCTGTTAAATTTTCAACTATTTAGTGTAATCTCGCGGAGTTTAGAAAGGATTTTTAAACTATCATGTCACTAAAAAAAAAGACAATTACATGTAACCGTTCAAAAGAAAAGGTGGGAGCCCTTGAAAATTAAAATAGATAAAAAATCACTTATATTAGGTAATGGAACAACATTACTATACCATATGCCTGGTAGTACTGTAGTACGTAAATTTTCTCTTCTCCTACTTATATAAGTATATATTCTTTCTGTTTCATTTTATGTGACGTGGTTTAGAGAATAAAAGTTAGTAATTCAGCATATTTTTAATATATTTCAAAAATCGAGATAAAAGAAAAATTATTAAACAGTAAAATTATCACATAAAGTGAAACATATGGAGTACCTCTTTGTTGAATTTCTGATTGGGAGCAAGAAACCTGTTGCCTTGACTATTAATAGTAGGGGCAGCACTACCACCAATGGCATACATTTCCCAGTGGGTGTAGTCATTGTTCACCACATGGAAATAACCATGTCTACACCTCGGCATTCTCTGCACCAACCCTTCACCAAAATGATTAAAGGCAACTGTAACTTGCATGCCTTTGTCCTGCGTAAAAGAATCACTATGCCCCAATAACATGACCTTATCATGATGAGTAAAGTAGTTGTTAGAAATGGTAATTGCTGTGGATCCATGAATTGCATCAATTAGACCGTCGTGGCAATTTGACAAGGAGCAATGATCTACCCAAATATTCTTTCCTCCGAAAATTGAAATGCCGTCTCCGTCGGAAACATCCCACCATCCGGAATGGTGCGGTGAGTCCCTAATGTTGCCGTTACCACTCTGCTTGCAGTCGTGTATATTAATCCCGTGTATAATAATGTTCGTGCTGTAATGGATTGTAATGCAAGGACCACCTGAAATAGTCGTGGAGTAACGTATTCAGTCATTATAAGAATTAAAAAGGTTAAACTCGTCAAATTTTAAATTCTGGATCTGCTTCTGACCTGATATGTGAACGCTGGTGCCTCGACCGTCTATGGTCTTGAAAGAGTTCATGACAAGTTCTTGCTTGAGCTGAATGACCATGTCTCTTTTGAAAATGATCCACAAAGGCTCATCTTGTATAACCGCATGTCTAAGGGTTCCGGGCCTGGGGTTGACTGGGTCATCGTTTCCTGAGTCAGTGACCACGTAAATTCTTCCATTTCTTCCTCCAATAGCATTCTTTCCAAAGCCAATGGCACAATCAGCTAAACGCTGGCGATTTTTCTCCCAATTGGGGTCACAACGCCAACAATCATCAATCGGATTTCCTGTTCCACACGACAAATAGCCCAAGTTCCTCCTTGTCAATGAAGCATTGATGCTCCTGCTCAAAACAACAAGAATTAGTAAGCAAAAATAATACTATGAACATAAAAATTTAGGTCACTAGTGACATTTGTTTTACCTATGAACTTCTTGTACCACAAGCTCTGGATCTTGGATTGAAGAAACAAGTAGTGGGGTTAGAAGTAGTGTGACAAAAAGAACAAATATGAAGAGAAGGCTTGACATTTTAATGGGGCTAAACTATAAAGGAGAGCCCTATACTAAGATAAGTACTAAAGTGTTTTTTGTTTATTGGTGTTGAGATGAGTAAAAGACGAAGAGATGGGGCAGGGCTTATAAAGCAGGGGAAAGCCGGGAAGAATGGCGTGATTAAACTAGAGGTGGGCCACACTTGATCATAATTTCAGATGATGTTTTGCTTCGATTCCCACTTGGTAGTTTTTGATCGTTAGGTTAGTTATTTTTTTTCCCCTAGTTTCCCATCGCATATGGTATTCGTATTCGGTTCTATTAAATTTAAGGAAAAAGGTTAAAATTGTCCTCGAACTATCGAAAATAGCTCAAATATACCCTTCGTTTGTTTTTGGTACCAAATTTATCCTCGTCGTCTAAAAATTAGACCATTATTGCCCTAAAAACTAACGGCCGTCACATCATCTTTTGGACATACTTAAATATTACGAAAAAAGGGTCAAAACTGCCCTCAAACTATCGAAAATAGCTCAATTTTATCCTCCGTTTGTGTTTGATACCAAATATGTCCTTGCCTTAAAATCTAACGGCTGTCATATAAGCTTTTGGACCTATTTAAATATTATAATCATGTTGACATGCCAGTACAACATGACCCAAAAAAAAAACTTCTCCACCCGCAAGAACTCATGTTTTGCGAGGGGTTGCTGCATTTCCCGTGAAGGCGCAGTGAAGCACTTCAGGTGGCCTGCTAGCTAGGCTAGTGAGGAGGGGAAAGATTAGGTGGTGTCTAAAAAGTGTATCTTTTTATGAGATTTTGGGTCTAGGTCTTATTTGCCGTCGGTCTTCTTTTCTTTTCTATTGATGACGGCCGGAAGTGGAAGGGTATAGTATTTTAGAGGATGGTCTCATTCTAATAGTTTTCGAGTTCTTTATAAGAGTTGTTTTTAAGAGGATATATCTCTGCAACTAATTTGTGACATTTTTGAGCTATGAGCTTGGATAGCTAGCCATGGGAGTATTGCAATATGCAGCTTTTGTTGTTCTCCACTATTTTTGTGATAAGATTTCTGATTTTAAGTGAAAAAAGTTGGTATTTTATTTTTTGTATAGTATATTGGATTTTTTTTACAGATTTGTGAATCTTAAGAATAGCCCAACTATACTTCTCATAATAAGATTGGTGTAGCTTTAATTATTTGGAAGGAGCAACACTTAGATGAGTCAACGAATGAAAATGGAGAAAGAAAATTTATTCGTGGGGGCTTTTGTCAAGATGGAGGATCGTCTGTTGGAGATAGACTTGTGTTGTTCACATGAACTCATGTGTCGGCCGTTAGTTTTTAGGGCAGTAATGGTCCAATTCTTAGACGTCAATGACATATTTGGTACCAAACACAAACGGAGGATATAATTGAGCTATTTTCGATAGTTCGAGGTCAATTTTGACCATTTTTTCGTAATATTTAAATATGTCCAAAAGCTGATGTGGCAGCCGTTAGTTTTTAAGGCAATAATGGTCTAATTTTTAGACGTCGAGGACAAATTTGGTACAAAAAACAAACGGATGGTATATTTGAGCTATTTTCGATAGTTCGAGGATAATTTTGACCCTTTTCCGTTAAATTTATGTTCGCATTTGAAAATCCCACATTGGGGGATAATGTGCTTTCTAACAAAGACAACCTCGTTATAATTCAGGTTAAGATGATAGAATACTTACCACTCAAACACCATCCTTATTTGTAGGATAATTTATACTAATTCCTATTAAAAAATACAAAATAGAAAAAAATACTCCCTTTTCTCTTTCTTATCCTCTGTATTCAAAAGCCTATTGTATTTAGCATTCCAGTATTCAATGTTTGCCTTCCCACCCCGTTGAAAAAAAAGATACAAGCACATGACCCATCTTTAGTAGAGATTAGTATAAAGTAGAAACTGACATTGCATGTGATTACGGCGACCATAATGGTAATTGGTAAACGAAGAATTTGATTATGCTGCGTCTGCTTCTGAATTCTAAACTCGTGGGGGATTTAAATAACAACAATTATTTTCAGCATTTCAATATTTTATACTCAACAGCAGCTACAGGTGACTGAAAATTTGCCAGCAATCTAGTTTTTATATTGAGCTAGATTAATAAGGTGTCCTATGGTTGTTTTTTTTTTCAAACAAAAAAAATGATTTATTCCTTTAGAAGAATGCAACATCATAAAGGGGTTATTAGAAATAACACGTTTTTATTTACTTAATAATTAACGTTAACACATTATCTATGATACAATAAAAGTGTTTTACACTCTTTTAGATTACTAGTGTATAATTAATGTAGACACTTACCTCTAGGTGGTTTCAAATGATGTGATTGAATAAATATTGGCCGAATAACCTAAAAATCACCTTAAACTTGACACGAATTATTAGTTACACTCCTAAACTATTCGTGCTCTTAATTACCCCACTGAACTTGGCCTTTTGAGAGAAATTACCTCCATGGACGCTGATGTGGCGAAGAGTATGGGTACACTCTCTTTTAAGTGCGTGGGAGTGAAGAAAAATTGAAAAATCAGCTTCCAAGTAGGTTATTTTTTAACTTTTAATTGTCATATAATCATATATAATGATTTATTTGTTACAATTATGTATTTCTTCTTGCTTTATCTTAACATATAATGTGGACTTTACACTAACTTTTATTCTTTTTAATTTCTTCTATAGATATAATGTCTATTTGTTCCAACTGCATATTTCTTCTTTTTTTTTTGGGGGGAGGGGGGGGGGGCAAATTTGTAAAAGTTTGGTCGGAAGTCCATCAATTTAGCCAAATAGAAAACTTCTAGCAAAAATAATGGAGTACTAGTTGTGTATTTTCTGTTATTTTTTTCTTTATATATAATGTCTATTTATTTTAATTGTGTATTTTTATTTTCGAGTCAAATCAGTAAACAAAATGGCGACAACTCCATTATTTTTTACCAAATAAAAAGGTATAGCCAAAATAATGAACTTGCAATTGTACACTATTTTTATTTCTTCTTTTGATGCGATGACTATTTATTTCAACTGTGTATTTTACTTTTTCCAGTAATATCTGTAAAAACATATATTTTAGAGCTCCATAATTTAGAGCTATATAAAAAATTATAGCCAAAATAATAAAAATCAAACTATGTATTTTTTTATATCTTTTTAGATGTCTTGACTATTTATTTCAACTGTATAAATCTTTATTTCAGGTCAAATTTAAGAAACAATAACTAAAACTTTATTATTTTTAGCCAAATAAAAAAAATTAGCCTAAATAATGTAGTTGTAGCCATGTTTTATTATAAATATTATTCGAAAAAGATTATCTAAAAATGTAACACACTTAAAAAGGTATAAAATATATTTTATTTTTCAAAAAATACCACATGAACAGGAAAACCCACATGGCATACGAGTGCATGCCACTTTCCTAGGATAAGATCGTCGAAGGGGATAACATTTTTGCCATAAATATTCTTTAAATCACGAGGGAAAAATAAATGCTAATAAAGTCAGCTGCCATGCTGTTATATATGGACGGCAAATCATTTCTCTTTGTGACATTAATTACTACTCCCTCCGTTTATTTTTACTTGTCCACTATGAACTTTATACACCTCTTAAAAAATAATAAATGAAATGCATAATTTACCATGATACCCATATTAATTGATGTATATTTTTAATGAATTTGAAAAAAATAATTTGAGATGAGTAATTAATATTATGGGTATAACAGGAAAATAAATATTGTCTTCTCTTGATATGCTAAAAGTGACAAGTAAAAGTGAAAATCTATTTTTATAATACTGGACAAGTAAAAGTGAACGGGGGAGTAGGTGATAAAGTGATTTCAGAACTGTGTCCAAATATGTTTCCACATTTTAATCCACAATATATTTTCCTCACGAAAACAACATGTACTCTAAATAAAACTATAATGTGTTGTTTGATAGAATGTATTAGGAAAAATAATACTATATGTATTCGCTCCTTTCGACCTGATCTCCCAAAAAGAATCTCCTGTGACTTCATCCTCCCCTTTTGTTCATAATTAAGCTCTTCTTCACCAAGTGTTTTGACTTTTTAGTAGTGTTTTTCAACCTATGTATAACTAATACCTATATTAATTATACATCCTATTCAGTACTACTCTTATACATAGCAAACCATGACATTAGAAATACCATAATTTTTAATACATAGATAAGCATGTATAAAGATAGAACTACCCTTTCAGGACTAGTTCCAAATCCTTTCGAAAGAATATGGAGGGTATTTTATAAAGAAATAATTTTAAAAAATAAATATGCAATACATGTAATTTTTAATACATCAAATCAAACAGTCGATTATAAAAAATTACAGTATAACTAATCCTAGCTAACTTCTCCTAACATTATTAATCCCAATATTATTAATATATCATATTCAGTACTATTATTATATGTCCTACCAAACAACCCCTAAATATGTAAACTACTAAACAAGAAGCAACTGAAGGGATACTTACTGTTACAGGGCCAATTGTTCGCAAACGGCACTGCACGGCAGCAGTCTGACACTCAAGCCACTCAGCCTTATTTTTTCACTCACAGTTTAGGACTTAGAATATTTTCAGACTTGTAAAACGAAAGCAACAAATACAATACGGGTAAACACTCAACCTTTTATTATTCTCACAGAATATACAAAGGAACTCAGTTGCAAGGCTCACATATGCTTTCTTCCTTAGCTAACGAAATACAAAATATATAAAGAGGCTGCCAATGGCAGGTTACAAGGGGAGCAGTTGCAAAGGGGCAGTTATATGGGTGTGCCTCTCACATGCCAGGCCTATAAACAAACACAAAACACTTAGCCACTATCTAAAGCACTTTCCACGAAATGAGCCCATCTTCAACACTTCAAGCCAACTGCCACATGTATACTGCACATGGCTTAACTTCCGCAGCACATGCACAACACACTTCTTTGCAGTCACATGTTTCGCACACTTGTTCCATAGCTTTGGCCACACTTTGTCTTAGCCTGCCTTGATTGTCTTTTGTACCATGCCTCAT